AACGGCTATGAAGCTAATGACTGGGTTATTAAACGTGGCATTAAATTTGAGCATTAATATGGACAATACACAACGACAGTACGAGACGGAACGAAATAAAATCATTGGAAAACGAGCTAACGATAGACTGGAACTCTTGCTGCAGAAAAGGAAGGAGGTTAGATCCTTTGTCCATCAGTGGAATGGTTACCTGACGAAGAGGAAACTATGGGAAATATTTGTATCCCTCTCCCCCCCCCCCCAAAAAAAAAAGTTAGAAGTAAAAGTTTGTGAAAAACCTTCCTGAACTTTTCAACTGAAAAAAAAATTATGCTATCATTTGATGCCTGTGAAATACACAGTCATCTCTTTGCTCCTGGGGTGAACCTGAAGAGAGATATGTTGTCCCAGAGACTTAACCCAAGTGAAAGGAAGGGGCAAATCTCAGAGATTCAATTAAAACACAGATTTTCTTTCCAACTCTTTATTTCTTCTGCCTGACCCTTGGAAAGAGGGTAAATTAGGGAAAGGGGTCTTCTAGCCCAGGGGTGTGCAACTCTGGACTCTTTAGGACAGGTAGACTTCCAACTGTCAGAATTCCTGAGCTAGCCATATACCTGTGATTGAAACCTTCAAACAATTATTAATTTTGCATTGTTTTATTGCCTAAGCATGTATCTGTAAAACTGCAGCACGTTCATTTAAGTGTAACCTTTATTGTCATCATACTTAAATACAACGAAATTGGTTTGCCATTTGTCAGTTTCTGTGTTTTTCAGCTGCAAGAAAATCAGGATGAAATAGAAAACATGATGAATGCAATTTTTAAGGGTGTATTTGTTCATAGGTACAGGTAAGTCCAATTGCTGTGTATTTAAGCTTCATTTTAAGATGCATTCTATTTTTTTTTCTTTTTAACACCACACTCTTCATTTTCTTTACGTATTATTCCTTTTCAGGGATGCGATTGCTGAGATTAGAGCAATATGTATTGAAGAAATTGGAATTTGGATGAAGATGTATAGTGATGCCTTTCTCAATGACAGCTATTTAAAATATGTGGGGTGGACAATGCATGACAAGGTAAAGCATTGAATCCTACTTTCTGCTGCAATTTATTGAGCAGAGAAAATAAGGCACAAAATTGATGCCTCCTTTTTTCTTAATCCACATTGTAATAATTGATTAATTTTAAGAGAGAAATAATTCAGTTTTACATTTCATGAGTTCAGTGTCCAAATGATCTAACAGCAGGGTGTAAAATCATAAGGTTGGATTTCTCTTCTAGCTGGGACAGAATAAAACTTTTTTTTTCAAATGGCAGCTATTAAGTGCCTTGGTTTTCAATCTGCTTCAAGGCTGAATTGAAAGTGTTGTTAAAACTGTAAACTTTCTCAGCTTGATGTAGTTTGTTTCATTTATGTAGAAATTAATTTTCCATTGTAATTCAGTATTTAACAAGTGGACCCAGTAAGGGAAATCACAATATAAATGTAGACCTCCCAAAACTAATTAACATATTGTCCAGTGTTGAAAAATGAAAACTTAAGAACTGTTATTTTATTTCCTGATTTTTTTTTAGCAAGGGGAAGTGAGACTCAAATGTCTTACAGCTTTGCAAGGGCTTTACTATAATAAAGAACTGAATTCAAAATTAGAACTCTTCACCAGCCGGTTCAAGGTAAGTGTTCATTCTCTCTTTTCCTTTTAATGAAATATTCCAGGCTTTTCATTATAACAGTTTTTAATTTTACAAACTAAATATTCTTCCTATTAGGACAGAATTGTGTCAATGACTCTTGACAAAGAATATGATGTTGCAGTGCAAGCAATAAAACTACTTACTCTTGTTTTACAGTAAGTGTTTCAAATCCTATTTCAAATAATTAGATACTCATGGTATTAATTTGTCCTTTTTGTATAAATGTAGTTTCTGAAACCTTTGAAGACAGCAATTTTTTTTAGGGTGTCATGTTAAAGTTGGATAAAAATGTATGAATGATTTTGTGTTGTCTATGCTGCTAAAAGTTCATGGAGACTCTAGTGAAATTCTCAGAGGTCCATCTTTGAGTTCTTCTTCAGTTACTTAATGTATATAGACATGAAACCTTGCTTTAAATTGAATATTTAGAATTTGGGTAATCTACAGTTAAAAGTAACCACCTCTATTTTATTCCAGTAGTATTTTTAGTATTTAAGTACAGATAGTCCTCAATTTACGACCAACTTGACCCCAAAATTTATGTTGCTAAGTGAGGAATTTGTTAAGTAAATTTTGCCCCATTGTACAACTTTTCTTGCCACATTTGTTCAGTTAATCACTGCAGTTGTTAAATTAGTAACCCAGATGTTAAGTGAATCTGGCTTCCCCAATGACTTTGCTTGTAAGAAGGTCGCAAAAAGGGATCTCATGACCCAGGACACTGCAACCATCATAAATGGGAGTCAATTGCAGTGGTGGGTTGGGTTGCAGGCGGTACACCCCGGTACGGTGCTCCGGAGGGCCCACCTGCCCGCCCGAGCGCCTTACCTGCATTTGAGCTCTTTAGCGCTTACACACACACAGCGTATGGCCCCTGCGTGACGCTCCGCCAAGCAGCTGGAGCGTTGCGGAGGTGTGGACACATGTGCTTGCTGTGTGCATGTGCAAGCGTGCATGTGGCGGATGTCAGGCCCTGTTGCACTGGGATTCGGAACCCACCACTAGTCAGTTGCCAAGCATCTAAATATAAATGATATGACCGTGGGGATTCTGCAACAGTCATGTGTGTGGAAAACGGTCACTTTTTCAAGTGTCGTCGTAACTTCTAATGGTCATTAAGTGAACTGTCATAAATCAAGGACCACCTTTTTTGCTTGCCCTTTTAATAATTGCTGTATTTTTAGGAGTAGTGAAGAAGTTCTGACTGCAGAAGACTGTGAAAATGTCTATCATCTGGTTTACTCAGCTCATCGGCCAGTGGCTGTAGCAGCAGGAGAATTTCTGTATAAAAAGTAAGGAGAAAGCGACATTTCATTAAACCAACTGTAAGTTGTGAATTAGACACAGCTGAATCACTGAGCCATTTAAATAGGTTTGTGGTTCCCCGCATGGGGAATTCGGATTTCCTCTGGAGCGACTAAGAACTAAATCTGTCGTGTGTCAACAACACTTTTATTTTTAGCTAACTACAATTATGCTTCTCCCCCCCCCTCCCCTTTTTTTTTCTGGGAAGGCTTTTCAGTCGCAGAGACCCTGAGGAAGATGGAATTCTTAAAAGAAGAGGAAGGCAAGGTCCAAACGCTAATCTTGTCAAAACATTAGTATTTTTCTTTTTGGAAAGTGAGGTATGTACACATTCCTTACTTATTTTGTCAAACTATTCTTCAGAAATGCTTTGTTTGTGTTTTCCATTGAGCCAAATTAATTTCCACTTGTTAAAAAGAATTGCCTAAGACTGCAATATTTTGTAAACTACTTAATCCATATGATTATTGTACTAACGTATTGTAGATCCTTAAGTAAAGCTTCCTTTAATTATTGTGTTGCTGAATGTAGTTACGGGAACTTTGTGTAAATTTATTAGTGTCCAAAGCTTTTTAAATACTCTTGTAAGACATGGCATCTTTGTAGTTCTGATTCTATTTATCTTGTGTATGCTTGTTTATAAGAACCTCCAAATTCATCCCCCAACTCTGCTCAGTATTGAACATCTTAATATTAATGATGTAAGAATGTGGGAGAGAGGAAAAATAGTATTGGCCTGTTTTTCCAAGAGGGTGGCTACCCAATGAAAGATCATTTGGATTGCAAAGCCAATTGAAATCGAGTACATTTAGCAAACAGGTTTTAATTGATTAAAAGTAATATTAAAAAGTGAGAAGACATGATGGACCTGAGGCAAATAGCATAACATTCTTAGTATAGTGCTCATGCCTTCTCTATGTACCATGTTTCCCTGAAAATATGACCTCCCCGGATAATAAGACTAATCGGGCTTTTGAGAGCATGCGTTAAAATAAGCCCTCCCTGAAAATATTGTAACACAGCAGCAGCCGCCATGAGGTGACCACGCTGGCCACCTCCTGCACTTCAAAAATAATAAGACCTCTCCAAAAATAAGGCCAATTGCTTATTTTGGGGGTCAAAAGAAAATAAGACTCTTGTCTTATTTTCGGGGAAACACGGTATACATTTTCTCCATTAAATTACCAATGGTGTTTGCTTTTTTTAATAACACTTTGGGGAAGCTTTTCATAAAATGCACAGTAAACACCTCTGGCTCTTTTTCAGTTACATGAGCATGCTGCTTATTTGGTGGACAGCATGTGGGATTGTGCAACTGACCTTTTGAAGGACTGGGAATGTATGAATAGCCTTCTGTTGGAAGAACCCCTAAATGGAGAAGAACGTAAGATTTCACTAAAAGCATGTTTTAAAAGGCATATGCCAGGATAGGTGTCCCTAACTTCAAGAAAGTAAATGGAATTCAATCAAATCATACAAGCCACAATTTAAATAACTTAGAAAACTTTTGAGCAAGTTAGTTTCGAAATTATGATCATGTTGATTTGAGTTTTCAAAGAAATACCAGGTGATATGTCTCTAAAATGAATTTATTTGCAAAAATGAGCAGTTAAAATGATTAAACAGTAGTAGTAACTTCTAACTATTGTTAACATGTTTCGTTACATATAAAAATAGAGCAGTTATTTTATTAAATCTTTAAATTCAAAGAAAACTTAGATTAAGAGGCTTTCCAAATGAGATTTCAGGCATAGGAATTTTAAGTATTTCTTCTAGATCAGTTTGTTTTCTGTTTAGTTCTGGTGTCAGGACAGTAGTGTACTAATCTACAAGTTTGAGGTACAATAAATAATTGATCAGCAATTCTTGTGATTAAATCTTATGATATGTTCAAGAGGTTCTTAACATACATGATTAAAAGAAATGACATTTTTCTTTTTCTTTTTAATTATTTCAGCTTTAACAGACAAACAGGAAAGTGCACTAATTGAAATAATGCTGTGTACAATTAGACAAGCAGCTGAATGTCATCCCCCTGTAGGAAGAGGCACAGGAAAACGGGTATTTTTTAAAAAAAATATGTTATAAACATAATGCTAATATATTATCCAGCTAATTTTAATGTTTTTTCAGAGAAAAATGAAGTTTATTCATAGTTATCCATTGTATTTGAGTTTTGAGCCAGTGTGCATTACATCGGCAGTAGAATCACAGTTGTTGAAAGAAACATCAAGATAACCTATAATTTCAAAGAAAATTATGCACTAGCCTTTAACATTTCATATTCATTGTAATATTACTGTGTGCAATTCAAAATAAGTGTATAATCTCATCTCTTTGGAATCAGAATGCATGCCTACAGTAGACAGTGAAAACATGTTATTTTTAGCCTCAGTAATCTTCTATTTCTGGGGTCAGAGTGAACCATTTGAAGGTCTTGAAAAATCCCGAGCCTGTTTGCTTGATAACAGTCATAGCACTTAATTCTAATTTTTAGGTAAAAATATTACACAGCAAAATTCTGGTGACTGTTAAAAAAAGCCCTGCAACAGAATTTATTTGCAACACTGTCATTCTAAAGCTGCTTGGCCATCTACTGCATTCCCTTTCTTGAGCACATGTTAGTGAAAAACATCTTGATTCCTCTGAATGGTGACCGAAATAATTCCTTTAGAATAATAGAATGTCATGTTTGGAAGGACACTGGAAACAGTTTCTTAATTCTGAGAATATGGATCCTTTTTGAAATGTAGTTGAATTTGGCTCCTGTACTAGATATTGACTATTAATGAATCACATTTTGGGATTGCATCCCACAGATGCTGATAAAACCAGTCCTTTAATCCTGCTGATCCTTATTTTGTTTTTTGTTTTTTATTACTTAGGTCCTTACAGCAAAGGAGAAAAAAGCCCAGTTGGATGACAGAACTAAGATCACAGAGCTTTTTGCTATCGCACTTCCTCAGCTTTTAGCAAAAGTGAGTGCGATTTTTGTTTTTGTTTCTATGTTGATGGCATGCTGGTCGGGCCAGGGGCTGGGATAGAGCTCAGAAGTACGATGAGTTTATTTCATGCTACCTGATGAATCTGATCTACTAATGGTCAAAACAAATTGGCCCTTGATAAGAATTAACGGAATTCATGGGAGCTGTCTCTTGTGGAGCATAGTGATTCCCAACTGATGACGCATTTGACCTCGCCCTCAGGCTCCCCCTGCTCATCTCCTACAATGCTTAGGTCACAGTTGCATAAGAAGGTTGTCTTGTAACAGAGTAAATAGTTGATTAGCCTATTTTGATAAAAATTATTATGGGTGACAGCTCTCCATGTTTTCAAAAAGTGTGGGGTTTTTATTTTGCCTCTCCCTGGGATTCCGTCTTTTTGCTAAAGTTTCCTGAAACTTGGTGACACTTTCAATGTTCTAATGACATTTACTGAAGAATGTTTGCTAATTCTGATTCCCCGTTGTCTACTGTGTTTCTCCAAAAAGACAACCCACCTTGAAAAGGAGCCCTATCACGTTTTTGAATGTGCGCGATCAAATTAAGCTCCACCCACAAAATTAGCCCTAATTAATACCCCGCCCACCCCTGGGCGCAGGGGGTGAAGTCAGGCACACAGATAAAAAATAAACTTGGGGAGGAGGGGGGAGCTGCCCTACTTACTAGGCCTCACACAACTCAACACCTGCCTCGCCACCTTCTGTGGCCGCTTCTGGAAGGCAGCCGAAGGCGAAACAGAGGCCAGGGCCATGCGTGTGAATGACAGCAAGCGGCAGAAGAAGTGGGCCAGCAGCAGGCTCCTGCTGGGCGGGGCTGTCGGTGCCGCCACCGTCAGGTGAGTCAGTAATTAGAGCCCTCCCCAAAAAAGGCTTAGCCATTTTTTTTCGGGGTGTCAAAAGAAAATAAGACACGGCATTCTTTTTGGAGAAACACAGTAATACTGAACATTTTAGATTTTTTAAATGAAGCTTACCTTTGGAATTGTGAAAAGTGAAACGCTGATTTTATGGGAAAATGTTTGGGATTTAATGAATTGTCATCCCTCTCCACAGTATTCTGTAGACGCTGAGAAAGTCACCAACTTGTTACAGTTGCCACAATATTTTGACTTGGAAATCTACACAACAGGGAGATTAGAAAAGGTAAGCCAAGTTAAAAGAACCGGATGAAAACTAAACAGATCTTTTGACCCAAGGCTCAAATCACAACAATTAAGCCCAGTTCCTTTGGAGCAAGGGGCTGTGATGGCGATGAGCGAACAGGAATTTGGACAAGCACATCAGAAAATCGATGGTCGGTTGATTCTCTCTTTTTTTCCATCTTTTTACTAGCATTTGGATGCCTTATTACGACAGATCCGGGATATTGTAGAAAAGCACACAGATACTGACGTTTTGGAAGCTTGTTCTAAAACTTACCACGCCCTCTGCAACGAGGAGTTCACCATCTTTAACCGAGTAGATATTGCAAGAAGCCAGCTCATAGATGAACTAGCAGATAAATTCAACCGGCTTCTTGAAGATTTTCTGCAGGAAGTACGTATCTCTCTCTCCCCACCTCTCTTTCTCTTCCTCCCACCTTCTCACTGTCACTGTCTCCCTCCCTCCCTCCCTCCCTCCCTCC